ATAACAAGCAAAATAATTATTTGAAAACTAGTCGGCTAGTGCCTCCAACTCGAGTTTTAGAAAACAATTTTAAATTTAAAACTAAAAACTTCAATTCCTAGGCATAGTTAGTTGACAAGGGTCCTACAACTTCTGATATTTTCACCAAGGACCAAACGCTAAAACGGATTACACTATAATATATACAACGAGGGTTATGTACTAACTAAGACAATGTAGCTAATAATAATTTGCTGGAAGTGCAATTTGTGTGTGCTTTTTTTTTATAGAACAGGCGGCAAATGGGCAGGAGGCTCATCTGATGGTAAGTGATACCGCCGCCCAGGGACACTCTCAATGCCAGAGGTCTCGCGAGTGCGTTGCCGGCCTTTTAATCTATGTTGTCTTAAAAATCCATCGACTTGCTTCTTTGAAAAATACGCGTTTGGAGATAATTAAGAATACTAGACTCTTGTACTCTTTACATACATTATTCAATAATCATGTACATTTTATTTCGGGGCATTTATGATTTAAATGCAGTTTAATGAAATCTAATATTATTACTTATTTTAGTTACTAATTATTATTTTTTTGGTAATTTTTTCGCTTGCTAGCTTGTGTATGTTCTAATATAATTGATGTGTATTTGTGTAACATTTGTAATGTCATATTTTCTTGTATAATTTTATGCATATACAGTAGAATCCGTTTATTATGACTCCGCCTATATTGACCAACCGGTTATAATGACGTAATTACACTACGAAGTTTGGTTTTCATATAAAATTCTTTATAAAAAAGTCGGATATAATGACTTCCCTTACAGTGACATGTCGCTTATTATGACCCATTTTTAATAGATTATGTCCGGTTATAATGACCGACATGATTCTTTACACCTCCGGTAATGTTCGTTGATTCCCGACGACGTTCGGCACGTGCTAAGGAACAACTCGAAAGTGATGGGGAAGAGGAAGTCGAGGAAGCACCATTACCTACCGCAGAAGAGGCATTAAAAGCTGCAGAATTATTATCACGATTTGTTCACAGCAATATTGAAAATGATAATTTGACCATAGCTATGTCTTCGATACACAATAGTATTAGAGACTGTTTTTACAATAAAATGAAAAAAAAAAGCAGACAAAAATTACAGATTTATGTGTTATAATGTGCTGATTACGTGAAATTTTTATTTTGATTTAATATGTATGTATATTGTATACATATGTACATAATAACTATGTTTCTGTATTAAAATACTTAAGTACATACATATGTATATATTTACATAAAAAAGGTTTTTCATTTCACAAAACGCTTTGTATGACGTCCGCTTATTATGACGTGTTTGTCAATTCCCTTCTATGTCATTATAAACGGACTCTACTGTACGTTGTTTTAGAACTTATAAAAAAATTTAATTTATCTCTTACTATTGAATTGTGTTGTAGCTGTGATGGAAAGAGATAAATCTATGTCGTTTAAATACGTGTAAATGATGATTATATGACAGCGTATATAATAATGCTTAACAATTTTTTAAGGGTGACGCGCCAAAATGTTAACATTTTTAGGACTCCGTAGGACTGTTAAGGATTCAGCACTTAGTAGGACTCCCGTTTATATCCTATATGTTTTACAATTCACACAATACTAATAAATGGGTTGGTTTCAAAGTTCGAAAGTTAATAACGCCATAAACTTTATAATATTTGCTTAACTGTCTGACAACCATAAACCAGACTATTGAATTTTATAAAATGATTTATGTGTTCTATTGATTCCGTTTACAAGATACTTTATCTATTCAAACATAATTGTCTACTTAAATTTGTTTTATAGTTTATATTCTAGCCATAAAGTTAATTTAACAACGATTGAACAGGGTTATAATTTAATTGTGTTTGAACTTTCTTAATTCGTGTTATGTCTATAAATGTATGAATATGATTATTGGATTAAATTTAATTATGATACTTATTTATTTATTTTAGCCACACTAACGAAACACATACAGACACAGAGAACACACGACATACAAACATGCAATACATGCAAGTGAATCAATGTCAACTGTGCACAAGGGAAACATTACAATGATAAAAGAGAAAATAACACCAAAATAACAATGACACTTATATGACATACTATGTATTTATTCAAAATAATACACCTCAGTGAAATAACATTTTGCCAAGTTTTTTTCTGTGCAAAGCTACATGAGAATTGATAGGAATATAAATAAAAAATAAAATCGTATTACATACATAATTACATATATTTATTGTACATATGGCAAAAGAATAATATATAAAAAAAATACTTTAATATACGACTTCCGACTTTTCACCCTATTTTATTTTCATCAGCATCCAAACTCTAAACTACCCTTTCAATCTCGTCATTACATCGCTATAGTGGTTTGCCATTGTTTCTCTTTTCGACCACCTTCCATCTAGAATGGGTTGCCCTGCCCATGCATTCGAGTTAAAATGCCTGTTGCGCAATACATATTATCAACAATATCGCAACTTTTAATAAAAAAAGTAGTGACAAAACTTTAAAGTAAGATAAGAAGTGGAAATTTGTGGGTATTTATAGGATAGTGTGTAATCAAAATATAACTTATCAATGTAACTTATAAATTTATCAATGCAAAATCCACGACACCATAAATTCGTTTAAGGAAAAGTTTACGTAATTAAATCACATTCAGCTATTACTTTAATTGCATAAGATATTTATGAATGTCTGTGGGCGATCAGGGTTTGCAAATTCCACCTCATTTGGTAATCTCTGGCAAGTGTTGAGATTTCGTTGTATGAAATATCGAGCTCACCTAGTGCAGTGATCATTTATTTCTGATTATGCTCTTAAGGCCATATCCCAGCACAAATTGCTGTGTCAGTGTCTCGGGGTGGACTGAACACGAAGAGCAAGAAATATTGATTCATAAATTAAAAGGAAAATTGATTCCAAAGTGTGAGGGGAGCAAACAGTTGCTGTTGTAGAACAGAAATTATTTTAATTTTCCTTATGAGATTTAGTAAAGAAAGCTCTTAATGAACGAAAAATATAAGAAAAAGCGTTTTAAATAAATCAAGAGCTTTACAAGTAAAAGTGCCGAGTTGGCCCATGAAACTTTAATCAACTTATAAAATTATTTAATAGTCATTCAATAATTTCACTAAAACATATATTCGGAAAACTATCGCAATATCACATACTCTATTGAAAACTAGCACTAGTAATGACAAAAAGCTTCCATACCTTTAAAGAATACAGTACAAAAAGCTATATACATTTTTGCAAGACTCTTAAATCAAATTCATTGTTAGAATGATCTATTGGACGTGGAAATGAATTCGTTAGCGTAAAATAAAAATATATTTCGCATTTTCAACGAGAAATGCTCTCGAGATGTCAAAACGACAGTCTTTTTCTTATTTATTACCTATCTTTTGAATCGTAGGACACGTTCACGACATTCTGTTGTTTGTGAAGATTTATAGCCGGAATGGGAATTTATTTTGTATCAAATTATATGCCTTTTGTTAAACTTTTTCATATTGTTTGCATAGTTTGAAATTATTTCTTTCAATATCAAAGATTTTTGGTTATTGAAACATTATGATGGTAAATTAAAATGCATTCACAAGCCTACCCTCACTTTTAAACTTCTTTACGCGGATGGGGTCTACGTTAGTCCTTGGAAAACGGCGTTTATTTATTTGTATTTAATATGCTGTTCACTTATTACACTGCGTCACATAATTCGGTTTAAAAGTGTTAATATATAAAAAAAACTAGCGGATCCGACAGACGTTGTCCTGTACACACGTCTTTCATGCAATAAATAATAATAATGTACATCATTGTCGACTTCAAGTGGAGTGGAGAAGTGGTGGAGGAGCACACTAAAAAATTTCATCAAAATCTGTCCAGCCGTTAAGGAGTTTAATTGAGAACACATGCACAGAAGATATATATGCAGTCTATTTGCTGTATAGATAAGAAACCTAGATACTGATTGCAGCGCCATCTGCCGGGCTGATTTGTGAATCTAAACGATCCAGGGCTCCACCCAAACGCATACAAAAAAAATATTTAAATCGGTCCAGCTGTTTAAGGTACAATACAATTATATATATAAAGATATTCAAACAAGGAAGTACTTTTAAAAGAAATAAGTATTTAAATAAATAAATAAAAAAATTATTTGAAAGTGCTTAAAAATAAACGCCAGATTAAATTAGATATTTAATTTGTAACATGGGTGAGAAACACAGGTTTATACTTTTACCTTAAGTCCAATTTTAAACAATATTTTACCAAACATTATGAACTTCCAAAATGGTCGCTTTAATGCGATTACGATACATCACATTTCATTCTGGGAACTAGACATAATGCAAACTCAATACGCGGGTGAATTGATTAATAATTCGCTTATAGCACCAATCAATTTCATATTCAACTACCTGTCACGCCTTCGCACGGCTGGACATAATTTTTTTAATATTTAGAAATATATTACTCACACTAAATGTAATATTTTTGTATAATTTAGTGAATATTTGGTTGTAAAAGAATTACCTAGTTTCTTATCGACTTTTATCAGTAGAAAACGTTATTTTAATTGGGCTTTGTGTAATTATTAAAAAAATGCTTTTTTGGATTAAAACTGTTACAATAACATGATTTTGACTTAGATTTCTACAACGTGCCAAGGCTGTACGTTCTTAATAGGCCGGCAATGTACTTGCGAGCCTCATCACGTGAGCCTCTTGCTCGTTTGCGCTCTGTTCTATATTAAAAAATACAATCTAAATGATTTCTATTACGATATTTTTATCCGTTTCATAAGTGTTTCTTATTATCTGCAATATATACCTATACTACATCGAAAAATACCGACAGACCTCTTTCAGGTTAAGACTTTCTAAGTTCAAAAAACCTTGCATCTTAACCCTTTATTTGTCACGATGACAAACAACGAGTTACGATAATGAACCTTATGAGCTTCCTCCACCCATAACATTCATATCAGTACCGACCGACGAAGGACGAATCGGCAACTTATTATTATTATTCTTTTCGAATTTTAACAAAATATTTTTCGCACCATTTTTGTCTCTATGAATACCTTTACGGCATACACTGCAGTATACGTAACGGTGTGGAGACTTTGATACACTTAATTTTCTCTGAACAGATTCTCGATCGTGACAATAACTACAATTTTTAGTAGTAAATGCTTCATTAATCACAAACACTGACAAATTCTTTCTTCGTTTTATAATATTAAGTACATCATTATGTCTAAACTTCCTGTGACCCTTGAAGGTTCCTTTGTTCATTAAGTCGAACCCAGCACCGTATACAACCAAAGTGTCTGGTTCTTTTCCAAAATAATCGTCTACAATTTTATGCAACATCTTCTGATCATTGATGTATTTGTCGAATTTTAAACGTTGTAATCTTATTTGCTCGTAAAATCTTTGTTTTTCATCGAACCACTTTAGTTGAAATCTGGTGTAGACTTCTGCGTTTCGAGATTTTCTGGTTAATTCGACACCCGACTCTTGTTCGACAGACTCTCTGTCCACTCGTATGCGCTCCTCTATGTCTTTGATGAAACGCAATCTTTTCCGAACTCTATGACACTCTTTTGATTCGTATACTACACGTTCCTTTTTCAAGACCTTGTACGAGAAATCATCTCCATTACGAGCACATGTAACTATCGGTGTTTTGGCTCCAGGATCCACTGCTATGACTTTTGAATAGTTTCGTTTACTACCAAAGGCAGTGTTCTCTAGTGATTCTTCGCACTTTTTAGCCTTCTTTGATTTTAATTTTTGACCCTTTTGTACAATGCGATTCATAGATAGACACACACTCACTCCATCTGTGGATAAACTATACCCAAACTTACGGGGTAATGTGAAATGTCGGTTCCAGTACATGGTAGTGTTCTCAGAAAACACAGGCCAAGTAGAAGGTGTGTTATTTGGATCAACTCTTCTTAAGAATTCATGAATACATCTTGAATCGTATGTTATAAATTTTAATCCATGTGAATATATCGGGAAAACGTTGAACGATAACTTGCCTTCATCGTACAGCTCGTGTTGAATCCTCAAGAATAGTGGAATAAATCTCCAAAAGTTTTTCTTTAGTTCTTTAGAATTGATTTTATTCTCAGTAAACCATTCTCCGATTCTATTAGATTTACACATCCCGTTGTAGTACGCATCATAAGTTGAAGAGGGTACTTCAGATTTGTCCATATCTGTACCAAATTTATGATACATGTATCTTTTAAGTCTTTTGAAAGCATGAGTTTGTATATTTGTCTCTAAAATTGTGCTGTATTGTTTTGCAATCTGTATAATTATGAATGATCTCGATCGACCATCGTAAAATGTATTATTTCCTCTCAACGATATATATGTAGAGATTACATTGTCTGGATCGGTTAATTTATATTTTGCGCCCTTCAATGCATACGTAAATTGTAATGCATCAAATTTAGGAAACATTACATGAAAATCATCACGAGTGCTGTAGTGTTTGTAGAAAAAGTTTACCAGATACGATAGCTCTATTGATAATCTGGACATTTCTCGTACATCATCACGTATGGCACACACAATTGCTTCTTTACAATCGTTCAACGGGCACAACACAGAGGTGAGACCCTTCTTGATGCTATAAACGGAAATTTCTTGATCAGAGTCTATACCAGTTTCGCGTATACGACGTTTTCTATTTAAGCATTTGGCACTGGAAGAACGTTGATGATCATCTTTACCGCAAGACGGACAAGGCATCTTTTAGATTCTCATTGATATTTATACTTAAAGTGAGAGGATTAAAACTTTTATTTTTCACATGTAAATTCTTTATAAGTAAAAAACATGACACAACACTTCTTTCTTAAATTCTGAAAAGGTCACAAAACATATGCAACCTTATTATTTATAAGAAATTTATCATGTTATACCTTTACAATACTGTTCACATTATGTAGTTTTATATAATGAAGTAAAGGATTGAAGTTTGAAAAAAAACAAGATTTAAAATAAAAAAATTACTTATATTTATTCAACAAGGTTCATTATCGTATGGATAAATATGTATATTATAGTACACATTACCAACTAAAACGTTAAAACTGATGATACAGATATATATCTATCTATAATCTACATAGCTACTATAAAACAGCATTTAAAATCCATATAACTCAGTGTCCTTCCAAGGGATTTTAAGTCTTTTTTCGACATTGGAATTAATTACTTGTGGTGATATAAAAAGGTATGTAACAAATCTAATTATACATATTTTTTACTCGCTACTCATGTCTATATTCGTTCAATGTCAATCGTTTCACAATACCGACTGGTGTTCGTTTAAACGTTATATTGGGAATCGAGTGTTCAATTGGATAGTTGAACTTCATAGCAAATAGTTCTTCGTGTGAGGCTGCGAATAGATCAAAGGTTTAACAGATCGTTTAGATATTTTAAGAGATGAGAGATTTACGTACACTGTAGAGTGCGTACTAATACTACGACTGAAAGTGCCGTATGATGGTCTCAATTCACTTCAAAAGCCTTTGGTGCTCACAGTACCTGAACAATGCCCACTAAGACATCAAACTCAAACTCAGAATAACTTTATTCATATAGGTAACCAAGTACACTTATGAACGTCAACATAGAAGATGTTAAATTGATTCTAAATTTACATTTACTACCAGTTTACAAGTCAAGGGTGTAGAGCGGGCAAGAAGAACTGGCAAGAAACTCTCCGCCACTCTTTTTAATCGCCAAGTTTTGAGTCATACAAAATGTTTGTAAGGCGGAGCAGCCATATATATTTGAACTGGAGCAAATAATTCCCAAGGATCATTTAAATATCGTCAAATTTATAAAGCGCTTAATTGATTAATTTACATTAACGGAAGTTTTGAATTTATTTAGTGATAATTCCCTGATTTCACTTGGGAGTTTGTTGTAAAAACGAATACAATTTCCACATAAGGAGTGGTTTATCTTCTGGGTGTTTATCATAGCGAACAGTGGCTCTCGGGGACGTCCTCGCACCGAAACATTCGTGTTTTCTATATAACTCACAGTACACTTCGTTCATCAAGTGAAATGTTATTTGCTTACAATGAGTGTTATTCGGGGAATATTTTACTATGTTTTTTTTACAAAAGCAACGACATTTTTTATAAAATTAGTGCAATTATTTTAATTTTAATCTTGGACCCTTCGTGATAAACTCTTGAACTAAACACTCCGAAAAATAGTACGCTGAAGTAAACAAATGCTGTCCGTAATATAAACAGTATTTGTTTTCTAATTCTCTTATTTTTAAAAGGCCGGCTACGCACTCGCGATCCCTCTGGCATTGAGAGTGTTCATGGGTATTACTTAACAATTGAGTCTCCTGCCCGTTTAAAATATATATGTATATATTAATAAAATTTGTTATTTGATAACCAAAAACTTATTACTAATAACGTTAGTACGTTTTAGCTGCAGTGTAAAAGAATCGTGCTAATTATAATTACCAGTTTACAATCTTTACACAGATTAATCACCGATAATTATACTGGACACCCATGAAGGCAACGTTCTACTACCGATTTGATATCAACGGGTCATCAATTAATTACTTAATGACCCAGTCCACTTCATATCACTTTTATTAACGCTAATGAATTTAAGTTAACTATCAAACTAATGAACATACGATATTTGTTTCGTATCGTAGTATCGCTAATAAAAAATGTGTCCAGCCCTATTAAAAATGGTTTTCGTAAAATTTTAGTACACCCAAAAGAACCTATATAAAGCAATACAATAGAAGTTTTCACCTCATACAACTGCATTGTAAAAGAAGTAATCAATTAGGTGACTCCGAAGATCAGATCGTCTACTGGGGCATCCCTCGCGCGTTAATGTAATATTTAATAAAACAAATTTTTCAAAATTTACTTTCGTATCCGTTACGTAAATTTAATAATATCGTGAAGCAAAAGACAAATGTATCCATATTCCATAAAAATATTGTACATCTAATAGTTCCAAATCAGAAATTACTCAAATGAAATTGAGGCGTCCAATTTGTGTCATCGACGTATGTGGCCGATTGAATGTAATCATCTTAATTGACACACACTTTCTGATAATTTTTATTGGTCTATTTGATATTCGTTGTAATTGTTGTTTGGGTAAATAATTTAATTAGTTCTGGTTTTATTATAAGAACGTTGCGCTAAAATTGCGGGAAATGGTTTGATTTTTTTTCAGTATAAGGCAGTATCTGAATAAAAAATACCATCTGTATCACCTCGACGTCCGTCGTTCCACAAGTGTGTTTAAGGCAGTTTTTCACTAGTATAAAATAAAATATGTTTATTATGGAACATAAGATACATGTATCACTTATTCCACGTCATTAAATTTGAAGGCATCCCTACTCATCGGCAAAGAAGACAGAGGGTGTAGGCCGAGAGAAAAAGCCGGCGTAAAAAACTCTCGGTACTCTTTTAAAACAGCAAATCATCAAACAACACTTATTTAAAACAAATATCGCAAATTAATTAGAAGTAGCCTGTCTAGCACTAGTCCCAGGCCCTTTTATCAACTAGATAATCGTTGACTTTATAGTAAGCCTTTTTACACAGCTTTTCTTTAATACATTTCTTAAATTTATTGAAAGGCAGTGATAAAAGAGCCTCTGGGATTTTATTAAAGAAGAGTATCCCTTTCCCCAAAAAAGAATTACTAACTTTATATGGAACCAGCTCCCCACTGAAGTAATTCCGAACCAATTCGACTTAGGGTCCTTCAAGAAATAAGCGCACCAATTGTTAAAGGCCGGCAACGCACTTGCGAGGCTATGAGGAATTTGCGTATTGCGTAATAAGACAGCGTTATATATATATATATAACGATGTCTTTTTGTACTTCTTTGTAAATAACAATTAGTACTTATACATTTGTAAATTATAAAACAGTGTTTTACAAAATACTCAAATATTCTGCCTTTGATGTCCAGGGATGAATAAAACATGTACTCTGGACAACTCGTATTTTCGTAAGAAAGCGAAAACTTTTGGCTGAAGCGAAATTTTCGAGATTATATTTTTATTATTTATTCATAAACAGTGATAACAAAATACTAAACAAAAGTGCTTCAAGCCGTACCTACTTAAAGTCCAGGCAACCCAAATGAATGGAAAATAATAATACAAATAAAACATGATATTAACTGATAGTACTATTAAAGTCTCCTTACATATGATAATGTATGTTATAATTTTATTTATTTATGTGGTACTCCTACAGCTAACATAAATTATAAATAAAAATAAATAAATTACTTAAGGTCAAGGCCTCAGATTTCTGAATCTGTTTCATGACCAGTGCCTGACACACGCCGTCGACTTTTTGGGTCTAAGACATATCGGTTTCCTCACGATGTTTTCCTTCACCGTTCGAGCGAATGTTAAATGCGCACATAGAAAGAAAGTCCATTGGTGCACAGCCGGGGATCGAACCTACGACCTCAGGGATGCGAGTCTGAGAGAGAGATTAAAAACAATTATACTAAAGATAATCCAAAGATGGAATACATTATATATACAAAATGGTCAAACATTTATGAATGAAAAATAATACCTAATTCGGCTGTGTTGTGTGATGATGTGAAAGTGTGAGTATGTATGTGGGGTATGCTCATGATGCAGGTGATTTTGCGCTATGGATATTCTTAATACTCCTTTTAAAATAAATAAACTATTTTAATCAAAACAATGCGGTGAACTTGCGATTTGTATAGCAATGAGGAAGAATCAACGTGAAATGTCAAATAAATAAATGGCGGGGCAAGTGGGTGTGCGAATCTCTCGTCACGAGTAGCTTTATGGGTTTTACTTGGAGGTCCCTTGTTCTATTTAGATTTTATATATCGTGACAAATTTGAATGGATTTTAAATCACTATTGAATGTTTTAAACCTATAGTTAGTTATATAAGTTATTTATCTCAAAGTTTATGATAAAGTTTATATGAAATCTAACTTCCGAGCTAAATTATTGTTACACCTAATGTCATATGGCTGTCCTCTCTTAATGCCAGGGTTTGCGAGTTCATTGCCGGCATTTCGAGAATTGGTACGCTCTTTTCTTCAAGTAGCCTAAGTCGTATTGGTTCGAAATAATAATAAAGAGAAACGTTAGCGCCGTAACCACTGGTTTAGTACCGCTCTTC